CTAATGATACTCAGTGTGTACCTGTTACTAAACTCTCTCTGGGTTTAGCTCTTGGAATTCTTTTAAAATCTAGGTAAGTAGGAGGCACAGATCTCGCAGTCCTGTGTTCTCTGTAGTGGAATTTAGCAAGGCACACACTCTGTTATGTAATCTGGTCCTGTTTTCTAATTTTTAAGTTATTTAAAATAGGATCTGTTTTTAGGGACGCAAGCACCCCAGACTTCTTTCCTACCTTTCCTTCCCTTGCTTCTCCTCCCGTTCTGCCAGTGTCTTCATCCCTCTTGTCAGTTCTTCCATGCCCCATAAGGGTGTCAGTAGCCTGCCTGTGTCGTGCTGGGTTGCTGTGAACTTCCCACTTTTCAGGTTATGTTACTTACCTATCACTGTAGATCTGTTACATGGATTGCAGATATTTAAAGCTGATTTTTTTTTTTTTTTAGTTATATTTAGAAAGCCTCAAAGCCTGTATTTTTAGCAAATACTGTGTTTTTTATTCTGACAATAAATATGATTTAAATTTTTTCTGATAATTTTAAGGAAGTGTTAGAAATCATGTAAATGCACTTTTTAGTAGTTTCAATTAAAGTGGTTTCAGTGTAGGTGTATGTATGCATACTTTTTTCCCATACATACAATTGAATGTGCAAAAAAATATTTTTCTAATGCTTCTGTATATATCTTAGTACAGAATGAGTTGGTGTTTTTTGCAGATCTTAATGAAGAAATAGCAGTTAGTGTTAAAAAATATATGTTGTATAATTACATGGAAGCAAGCAAAAGTAAAATAAAATCAAATATCTTGAAGTATATTATTTAGTACTAGCCATTATTACAGCATTTATGAATTAGTTTTGTATTAAAAATTAAACACTTTATAAACTTCCTTCATAAGCACCTACTCAAAGCTCTCTTTAAATTATCTTGATGGTATTTATTCACTGAGAATGTGACTGTTTATTCAAAAGGGAAAAGGGGTGTTCAAGTGTCTTCTCTGTTTTTGTTTGCTGTAGATCATAAAGTATGTGGGAGCAGACTCTTGTGAATTTGGGGGCATTGCACAATGCCAAGTACATCAGTGATAAACAATAACCTCTCTTTTTAATATTTTAGCCGAGCTGGGAGACTACAACCATTCAGAAAACTTGCCAGGCTACCTCTCAGACTATTCTTTCATCCCTAGCCAGCCTCAAGACTTTGAAAAAGAAATAGCAAAATTACATCAGCAGCACATGTAAGGATTTACAGCAGAAAATATTGACTGATTTTGTCAAATCCTGAACTGCTGGTGCTGTGCTATTATATTTAAAAAATGGATATTTTGCCTTAAAGGTTTCTGGGGGTTTTTTTGTTGGGTGGTTTGTTTTGGGTTTTTTTAAGAGTATATTTAATGTGATTTTTTTTGTAGATTGTCTGTATATTAAGTACCATTGTTACTTTGCACAGATAGAATATCTATGACAGAATTACAGGGAAAATAAGTGAAGAAATGAACATGTTAAAGGTACCCTGAAAATAGTATTTGAGTGTTTTACATAGGTTATTAACTTAGCGGGATATAATTTTTAAGATATTTTTTCAGTCTGAGAATTCTCTGTGCATAAAGGTGCTTTTTTTTTTTTGTGTGGTGTTCTCACCAGTAAACAAGAGTTACTTTAGAAGTAACAAAGTCCTTTTCTTCAATATCTGCCCTTTCCTGTGTGCAAGTCTGTGACCTTTTATTAAAGAGGAAAAGATGATGAAGCAATGGAAAATATTTTTTTTTTTCCCCAGCATGTGACATTGTGGTACTTTCTCCAGTGATGGTTCCTTGGTATTTTAAAACTGAAGTGCTTTTTGTTACAGTTAGCTTACATTTTGTAAAATTTATTTTGTTTTCAAAAACTTTTGCTTAATTGGGGCATGTTGTTGGCTTTAGAAACTACTGAATGTTATTTTCATTTCAGTAATGCCTTAGCAAATTCTGTTAGGTAGAGTAAAGAAATTAAAGTGAGTTAATGGTAATTTAAACTTTAAGGGTGAGCCTTGGAGAGAAATTGCTGTTAGCAATACAAAATACAGGACTGCAAAGATATTTTTCCATATTCTAGAGCCCCATAGATATTTGAATGATACAGTGCATTAGAAATAAAACGTGTGCATTTGCAAGCCGTGTTGCAGACTCTTGTCAATACTTTGTTTATATGGAAGCACACTTTTTTTTCTGTTAAAATTTTTGGGTTACAGTCTGTTTATGGTGAGAAAGGAAATTCAGATTTCACGGTGGGGGTAGAAGTAGTAAAACAAATGCAGATTTTCCTGTTTGAGCTCACTAGGGAGCCTGATATGGGGGTTGTATGTTAGAATGTTTCTGGTTTACCTTCTTTCTTTCAGTGGGTTGTCTCCTGCAGAAGCAGAGTTCAGTTATCTCAATACAGCACGTACCTTAGAACTTTATGGAGTTGAATTGCACTATGCAAGGGTAAGTTTGGATGAACTAGTATTGCAACGGAAAAATGTATTTTTTTAATGGAAAAATAAATATTTATTTTTAGAGAGCCTTCCTGGCTGCTGCTTACAAGAGAAAAAAATGAAAATAATATTATCTTATTAGGTGCCTAACTGTGATTTACCAATTTCAATAGCCACCATTTCACTCTAGTGAGGGTATTTCTTTGCTTAAATTTGGGCTTAGTTATACGTGTGTTATTCAGGTTGAGCCTTGTTGGCCTGAATGCCAGTTCAGTTGGTTACTGGTGAATAAGAAAAATGTACTTGTTGAATATGCTTTTGATATTTAAGGATCTGTCAGCTTTGAAAAATACTTAATTGGATTCCACTTAGAACCAAATTATAAATCTATTATTATTATGTAGTATGAACTGTTAAAGTAAGGTGAGCATACTATAATTTGATACAGTGTCAGTTTTATCTAGTAAAGCAAGTAGCTCAAAGTCTTGACTCAAACAATCTTAACCTGTCAGTACAGTGCTACTATTTCTGCAAAGCCTCTGAATATAATTATTTTTAGTAAGACACCTGATTTTTGAATATTTTATCCTACTCCCTAAGGTTAGAAAAACTTGCAATATAATTTGAAATGTACCACGCTTCACTGCTGTCTGTATCCTGCTGTTGCTGCACACATATTGAGAGATCTATAGCAGGTTTTTGATTAGAGTACAAAGATATTTCAGGAGAAATGTGTTATTTAAATATGCTTATAATATGGTCTGTTTTAGAATCTCTCCTCTCTGTGTTCTGAGATTGCAATTTCCTTTCAGGTAGGAATTTAAGTTGCTGGTTGCTTTTAGTGTAGCAAGCATCAGGCCAGTCTGTTAGTGCTGTTATTCGTCATAAACTGCTAGAATAACCTATGTTGTGTATTTCTTCAAAGCTGATGGAAGATAGAAGATCTAACTTAAGAAATTAAAATTCTGTGGTAGCTTAAAAGAATTCAGAGCAAAAATTTGGGCTTGTCCTAGATGGGAATGAATAATTTATTTCTTACTTGTCTTATTAAAACACATTTCCTTCCATGTTAATTGAGATCTGTTTTACTATGGTATTTGTGTATTTAGAGAGAGAGAGAGATGAGTATGAATATATATGAGGTTTCAAAGATATTTATATTGTTCTTCAAGTAATTTTCTCTTTTCTTTTAAAGGATCAGAGTAACAATGAAATAATGATTGGAGTGATGTCAGGTGGAATACTAATTTTTAAGAACAAAGTACGAATTAACACCTTTCAGTGGTAAGGACAGCTATTTAAGCTAATGTTTTTGTTTGGTATTTCAAAACATATTTTTACCACTACCACTGTCACATGGTTTCCACAAGACTGAAACTTGGTTGTAGGATATAAAGTTGAAATTATTTACTTCATGCAGTGCTCTTACCCGTTTTGTCACATGTAACAACTGCTCTGTGTGTGTTAAATTTAATGTAGGTGTGGCACTTGAAGATAAATGAGGTGGAACATTCAGGATATTTGCATCCATAGATAACTATTTTAATGATAAGGATCAAAAAAGTGCATTTATTGCAGAAAGTGCTGTCATTGATTTCTCCTCCTAACTGAAATAGTTTTTTAAGCTGTTCTGTAAACGTGGTGTTATCTGCATTAAATATGTTACTCTAGTTACTAGTCTTCTCAAGTTGGGATCCTGTTCATATTTATTCATATAAGAGGGAGACAGATCTAAAAGAAATCCTATTCTGCACTATAACTTCTGTAGTGCTCTGTAGTAAAGTGCTCTATATCCCCAATGGTTTTTTTTAGTTCCGTCAGGAGTAACTTTCCCTTGGTTTCCTTTCTCTGCTTGGAATCCCCTTTGACAGCCTTACCTACTACATATGTCACTGTATGTGTGTAACAGCTGTAACAGCCTTCTGACTGGGCCAAGTCAGCCATATAAAGCTCTCATAATAGACATTAGTTTACAAAAGCTATTTACTCTAGAAAAATTATGAAAAGCTTTGCATTTTCATTTGCTACTGCAGTGTGTACTTGGGCAGTGCAGTACTGGACTAAAGTTCTTGACTGGTCTGTCATCTTCATATAAACAAATTAAATTGATTACCATAGTCGAAACCAGGGAAAACTTTTCTCTGAATTCAAACTGATGCGAGCGGTTGAAATCCTTGGGTTTTTGTTGTTTTCTGTTAGCACAGGGTAAGATCTGTTACCTGTAATCAATGACCTGTTTTCATTTAGTTCCCTTGCAGAGATTCAAGATGTTAATAACAGTCTTGATCTTTCCTGCAAACCAATGAATTTCCGAGACATTCTGGTTCTCTGTGCGAAGCTTAGTCTAAGTTTTGTTGTAGAATGTTGTGTATTCTGTGGTTAGAAACAGTGTGAATGGTCAAATTTTAGTAGAATTGATACAGCCAGATACAGTTGAACATGGTAAACATTTTGCCTGTAAGCATTGAAAGAAAAGTAAGCCTGAGGCAATTACGCAGCATGTAAATTTTCAATCTCCATGGTTAGTTGGGTAAATTAAAACTGGATATTGCAGTGCTGAGTCTGGAACTACTGTACTAGTCAGTCAGACCTGCCTTTATAATAGTGACACGTTCTGAGCAAGATATCCTTCTGGTAATAGTTTTGAAGTGTTAGAGCCATTTCTGGGTTAAGACTGCTTTATAAATGCAATGCTGTAATAGTCATGCAGGTTTTAATTCAGGCTGCTTTTTTCTGCTTGATTTATTTTTGGGAAAACAGTAATAGTAGAAATAGGTTCTATAAAACACACTCCTAAATTACTGAGTACGTACAGTATAAGTCATAATTAAGGTACATGCCCCTACTGGAAGTTAGAGGTTTCTGTGAGCTCTGCTTCATATTGTTTGCATGCTAGGGATGCTGATCTAAATTCTTAGTGTGGTTTTTGTGTGTGTGTGTAATTACCTAATCAGTTTGTCTTTGTATTTAATCGTATCAGCTGACATCAGTGATATTAATTTCTTCCTGTGAAGACTATAGTACCAACAAAACTGGTCTTTACAAAAAACAACCAACCAACCAACCATCCCCACGTCCCCCATTTTGTCCTATTATAGGTTTCCTTTTGCTATGAGTAAGGATCTGAAATGTGAGTTCTCACTGTGTAGCTCAATAGTAGACCTGTTACCTCTCCTTTCTGTCTACAGTCATGCAGCTGCTCCAGTAACGCCAGTACTGATACTTTTTCTTTTTGCTTCCGCTTATTTTTGCTCCTGTGCAACTGGAGCTTTGTAATGTCTTCCCGGTGCTTTATGGCTACAGTGAATGTTTAGGTACCTGTTTTTTCAGTACTCCTAAGCTGAGTTTTGAGGCAAGTGAGAAGACAGACATGCAGGTGTTTGGGAAGAAATAAAGGCTTAACTGTATTGCTCAGGAGATGATTCAAGTAAAATGTCTTTGCCCTCTCCCTCTTAATTTGATATTACATCTAAATTGCATATGATGAGCCTTATGATCATGGGGAGATATGAAACAGGAGGGAGACAAGGCAGGAATAAGGCAAAACAAAGGACACTGCCTTTTATCCAGTGTGTCCTAACTTGATCTTCCTGTATTGTGGGTAATTCCTCTTTTCCCCAAACTGTGCTACCAGGCACAGAGACCTGGGAATCCAGAGAGCAGATCTTGCCCTTGAAGGCGAAGGGAGTAGAGCATGGATTACCTCAGCACTCCCTTTGTTACTAGATGACCTGTT